TAGAAAACTCACTATAATGCAAGCCTACATAAAATAACTGTTCAAAAACTATCAACAGATGCTAAAGCCATGGGGGAAAAGGTACTAAGAACTTGATATTACATGTTATCACCCCACAAATTACTTGCTGTGTCTAAAAAGAAAACCTCACTAACATCAATTTGATGTCAACTCGTAGTGACCCTACATATAGGACAGAGTAGAACTGTCCTTGTGTGTTTACAAGACTGTAACTGTTTACAGGAAGTAGAAAGCCCTGTCTTTTCTTCAAGGGAGCAGCGTGTGGTTTCAAACTGCTTGTGGCTTCAAACTGTCCTTGTGGCTCACAGCTCAAATTGTAACCACTACACTACCAGGTACCAGTACCTGGTACAAGGGGTTAAGGCTAGGCAAACACCCTACCATTACCCTAGAGGGACCGCTGCCTATCATCACTTTTAACCAGTGAAACCAGCAGCCATTATTTGTCTATAGACATGATTACCAAAAGGTATACACGGCATCACCCCTATGCTGAGCAAAAACGTTTACCTTATATTTAATAAAGCGCCTTGAGAAATACTCAAATATGTCCAAAGAATAAATAAAATCAAGTTAAATGCTGAGAAAATACAAAGAAAGATCAAGGTGCAGATCATTCTTTAAAATAAATAAGCTAAATGGAAGCATTAAAAAATGGTGGGTGGGCACTATTAATAGATTAAAAATTAGAAATATAATATTCAAATATAACCTGTATCCACAACTGGATATTCATTTTAACAAATTATTAAAGACATTTGGAACAAATGGAAAAATCTGAGTATAGACTAGACTTTAGATATTTTAGTGAGTGTTCAGTATTAAGTATATTATATTTACTACTTTTAAAAAGTTCAAAAAATATTTTTAAGTCAACAAAGGTTACTTGGTCATTCAGGCCTTTCTACATAAGCAACGGAGGGCAATGCTTTCTTTTAAAGGCATACACATTTTTAAAATTAGTCTTTCAACATTAAAGAAAAAAATAACCAAAAGTTAAGTGCGATCATTTTCACCACAATAATCACAATAATGGATTTTTTAAAAAGGAATTTACTTTTAACCCAATTAAGCGGTCATGTTACTCACTGTATGCCTTCAGATTATCACCAAATAAGTGGGAGGCAAGATCTGGTGTGGCTCTTCTATCCAGGTGTCTACGTAACTCACACCAAATGATTAGGTAGGAACATGCAAATGTGGCACCGAAGCCTCGAACTCTCGATTGGTCAGTTTGGCTATATCACTGAGTAAAAAGTGAGCCATCTCAGAAGCAGGAAGAGAATCCCATGCCCATCAAGAAAAACAAGCCACTGGGGAACACGTGGGAAATCTCTGCCTGAAGGGGCAGCAACAGCAGCAGAGATACAAGAGGCTGAGGCCCGGAGCATGAGTCAGAGAGGCAGGCCTGCAGAGCTGGGGGCTGTACGGGTACTTGTCAGTACTAAATATTTTCAACACTTGACCAGGCAGGGCAGAGGCGAAGGTGCTCCATACTGAGAGGCCGAGGACCAGATAAGGACAAGCCTACAAACATGGCTGAGGAGAGGTGCTCTGCGCACAAAAAACACAATGTTTTCTGATCCGGACCTGTGGCGGTCTGTTAAATTCCTGAATAAAACTCCATCATTGGAGTACTGTCTCTACATTCTGTGTAGCCATTCTACTGGATTATCTAACCAGCAGAGTAGTGGGGGATATAGGAAGACGGACAGAGGCCTCTGCTTCAAAGGAATCATCCTTGGACAGCTGTGGAGTTGGATTCTCCATTACCAGGTATAGCTGGAGAGGGCAGACATGGCCTACCAAATAATATAAACTAGCCAAGTAAAGATGGGCAGGATGGAACCTACTTTTTTTGATATCGTTCCAGCACCTGCATTGCGTTTTAGGTTTCGTACGACACTACATTCCATCACAATAAATTCCTCCAGCTGTTTGGGATGGCACAAGCTATTGAAAGGATGACTCCAAAAGGTGTTCCCATCAACATCAGCAACTAAGAATAAATACAAAATATTCAAGAACAGAAGAATTACATTTTAAAGAGCTGAAATGAAGTACAATATCACCTTAAAATTCCTATAAACCACTTGTAAATTTCTCATAGCAAGAGAACTATCAGGCTTCAAACATCATACATAGTTACTATAATCAGAATAGCACTAAACTAAGTGCCTTTCAGACAAGATTAGATATAATTAGTTGTACAGCTGTTTCATGTGCTGTTACTATTTAGAGCAGTGGTTCTCAACTTTCCTAATGCCACAACCCTTTCATACAGTTCTTCATGTTGTGGTGACCCCCAACCATAAAATTATTTTTGTTGCTACTTCATAACTGTAACTTTGCTACTGTTATGAATCATAATGTAAACATGATATGCAGGATATATTTTCAGTTAAAAATTGAACATAATTAAAGCATAATCAATCACAAAAATATGTAATCATATATTGTGAGATATTTACTTCTAATGACAAATAAATGAAATTTTGTCGTGAGGCATGGTGTAGCATGGGTAACAGCCTTCACACTGGGTACTCGTATGTAGGTACATCTGAATGTGGGTGGACTCGCCTGGAGACAGAGAAAGGAGTGATGTCTTGATACCTAAGACCATCAGAAATGTGTGTTTTCTGATGGTCTTAGGCGACCCCTGTGAAAGGGTTATTCAAGCCCAAAGGGGTCACGACCTACAGGTTGAGAACCGCTGATCTAGAGAAACATATTGGTCTTCTATCTGCTTGTTGTTGCTTTTAAGTGGTCCTGACTCGTGGAGACTTAAGTATGACAGACAAAGCATGAGCTTCATGATCACTGGTATGTTTGAGCCCACTGTTTCCACTGTTTCCACTGTGGCTACAGTTGTCAATCTGTCTCATTAAGCACTTCCCCTTACCTTCATTCTATTTAACTGATATGAATGCCCATCCCAATACTATAAACGAGCCTTGACAAATGAATTTCAATTGATAATGTCTAACTAATAGAATAACTAATAACTAGAATAACCAATAACTTTATAACTAACAGAATAATAACTTTCTTGCTAATTCCAACAACAAAATAGTTCATTGAAATATATGAAAAAGGTCAAGAAGATGCAGTCAAGTACAAACTGTCAAAATGGAATTTTCTTTAAAAAATAATTTCTAAAAAGGAAATGTTAAAAAAACAATCAAGCAATGAAATCAGTTAATATTCAGGCTCAAACTAAATGTCCTACTGGCTCACACAAAGTCACAAGGTCTAAACTTAAAATATTTTAGTAATGATTAAAACTTACTGCCCCTACCCCCCACCAGTCCTGGCTCAACTCAAAGGGAGTCCCTCTGGGACATGGGGACACAGTAGGGGATGCTGGGGCCCTCTAGGGTTTCCTGTAGGGGCTCCAATAAATTTCTTCCCTTTTGCTTAAAAGGGAAAAAAAAATGGCTTCTCTATATAAAGAATACAAGAGGGTACTTAATCCCAATTTTATTAGCATTCAATAATATTTTTAAAACCATTCTTTCAAGACAATGTTGTGTTTGATAAAATAAGTCTGAACACAAATTTTTACTACACATTTCAAAATTAATAGTTCCCCAAACTTACCTTGTAGAGTGTTGGGATCTATAAGGTGAACAGCACTGGTTACTCGAATACACACACAAATCTGGCTCATATTTCCCAGGCTTTGTGCCAGTTTAGGAGACAGACAGACAACATTATCCTAGGCATAAGAACTAACATTTAAAATGAGGCAAATTCCAAATAACAATCTCTAATAAGCACTCATCAACATAAATTTGGTCTCACTGCATTTGATCAGTTATCTTTAATTCTAGTATCAACAAAAGGCCTAAAGAGTGAGATCTTAGAGGAATAGAGAGGTATAACTTAAGACAAACACATTTAATAAAAATGCTTTAAAAATTTTCTTCCCGTGTGTATTCACTGCACTATTATTAAATTTAGTTGTATTCAAGGTTGAATACTTGGCGTGCCATGACATTTGTCAATATAGTATGTACATTCTACGCAAAGTATGGTTTTCTCAATCTAGTGGATGAGTTCTTTCAATGTACCAATAACAATCAAGACTGACTGCCCAAGAAAGTTATGTCAGTATACATTGGAAGACACCAATCATAAATGCAACTACCTGTATAAAAATGTAGAAGGGATCTAAATTTTAATTTAACCTGTATCTTTTCACAATCAAAGACTCCTCCATTGAAGGAATAGTCATTTCTAAGTACCCCTGCACCAGCACTTTGTTTTTATTAATAAGTTTCCAAAAACAAAATGATACTATTACATTATAAGGAGGCTTCAAAAAGTTCATGAAAAAATGAAGATAATGGTAATTTTCAGAAATTTTTTGAAGCCCCTCGTATATACTCACTCCTCCAGCTCATAAGAGTCCCTCAAAGCAAATAACACACAGGTCTTAATCTGCACAAACTATGTGCCAAAAAATACTCAGTTTTAAATCAAGGTCAGCAAATCTGACCCTAAAGACAAATTCAGACTCACCTATTTTTGTTAATAAAGTTTTAATGGATCACAGCCAGTCATTTACTTATATCTTGTCTACTTTTGAACTACAAAAACAAATGTGAGTTGTTGCAAGAGGCTGGCCAACAAAGCCGATGTTTATTTGCTATCTGACCCTTTAGGAAAGCGTTTGCTGGCACTGTTTTATCACTGGGACTGGGCTACGTATAAATTAGTGACAATAGTTTTAACACTTTAGAATCAAAGACCAGGGCCTAAAAGTAAACCTTACCATTGTAGTTGTGCATGTTTGGGCAGGTCACCTAACCTCAAGCTTGTTTCCAGTCTACAAAATGCTATGATCTTTTTATTAGTATCTCGATACTTGGTTTTGTGTAGAACGGCAGTTCTCTTTATTTTATCCTGATATATAACCTCCTACAGGGCAGGGACCCAGAGATGCATAATCCTTAACACACTGCCTTGTGAATTTGTTGTATTTTAAATTTAACTTTAGAAAGGTTTTTACCTTAAAAAGTTAATAAACTGATAATCTACATTTTCAGTGTACCATATAGATTATGCTTTTAAATCATTAAAAATGGTTTGATTTCATTTCGGTAATATTATTTCCTTTAAGCTTTCCAAAAGCAAATTTAAAGTAATGTTCCACACAAAGTGGCTCAGTGATGCTTTTTTATTGTCATTTTCTGCATTCAAAATTCTTTGTAACTGTCATATGTCCACTAGGGTCACACATTTCATGAAACAATGGGCCTCTGAAAAGTGCAGCTAGTCCTTTTCATTCTAAAATATAAACTCTACGGCATGCCAATTTATAAGGGTAAGCACGATGACGTTTTTTATCTTTTTAATATGGTCTGAATGTGCCAAATCAAGATGTTATTCTAAAATTTTAGCCAACCACAGAAGGAAATCAGGAGTGAATAATTACATATAAACCAGTTAATCACTTGTACTCTTTTATGGATACGAATGAAGTAAGAAAAAGTACCTTGCATATTGGAACAATTTCCACAGAAAAAGTACTCTTGTAATTGTATGTGTTACTGTGGATATCCTGAGAGATCAATCGCTGGGATGCTTTGGACCTAATAAGCAAGAAATGTTAATCGCTGGGATGCTTTGGACCTAATAAGCAAGAAATGTTAACAGCAATGTAAAGATCAGGACATGAAGTTCCTAGACTCTGAATGATTTTCATCAGATCATCCCGATCCAGTGTCTAGAATGACTTCCCGACACTTACTTGCTATGGTGAAACCAAATTCCCCCACTTGTATTTCAGAACCTTCACTAAGCTCTCATTCACTACCATCAAGTCAATGCCGACTCCTGGTGACCTCCCTGTGGGTGTCCACGATTATCACTGTTTACAGGAATAGAAACCCTAGTCTTTCCCCGTGAAGATTCTCGTGGTTTCAAACGGTTGACCATGCACAAATCAGCCCAACGCAGAATCACCACACAACCCTTGCTACTGAAAACCTCTAGAACACGGTCTCGGCTCAGATCAACAAAACCTACGTGTACCTACTACTGCCTATCACGATTCTGACTCATTCATACCTCAGACATTCCATGTTCCAATTATTAATGGATGTTTGCAACTCTTTCTTCTCATTTTGAGTCATGACCTACCATAAGGTGACCAGATTTTAACATTGGTAAAGCGGGACCCCATTGATAAAACTCCTATCCCAGTGAAATAGCCACATGGCAGCTGAAAACCGTATACCCTAGCTGGTCGTGCATTCTTTCCAAAAATCGGGACTTTTTAAAAACGCTGCAGGACATGAGAAAAATTGTTAAAAATCAGGACTGTCCCACCAAAAGCGGGACGTCTGGTCACCTTAACCTACCAGCAAATCAAAGTCCCAAAGCTTTCATCCTCCCACATCACCAAGGTGGACTCTAAGTAGCTCTTCCCAAATCATATTTTGTATGTTGCCCAACCTGAGGGGCTCTCACTTTCTGGCACTATATCTGACAAAGGTTCCACTGCCATTCCTAAGGTTTCCAGTTGCTAACTTTCAAGAAGCGGGCTGCTTCTTTCTTGTTCAGAGTCTGTCTTAGTCTGGAAACTCCTCTGCAACTTGTCCACCATGGGTGAGCCAGGTGATGTTGGAAATACCTGTGGCAGAGCTTTCCCCATCACATAACTATCACACAAGTCACCACAATAGCACAAAGTGACAGACAAAGGGACTCCTTCATGGTATTCATTAAGGCCCAGTCTTTGTTCACATTAATCTCGCCTTTCAATAGAAACGTGACCTATGAAACTCCTCCACATCTGGAGTCCAAGTCCTGTACCCTCCATGAAGCCTCTGACGGCACTCTCCCTGATCTTTCCTCTCCTTCCGTGGAAACACTGAGAATCGATGATGTGATCCTTACATGGCTGAATTCCAGCTGCTCAAAGAATTTCTTAAATACATCTTTGGCTACTTCCCCTGAACTGGCTAATCCAATAATAAATACTTAATGATCATGCAAATACTCCTAAACATAAAAGAATTTGCCTAAGCCTAAAGATTAAATGCAACCTACACCCAATCTCAGTTAATCAGATTCAGAACATACCTGCAGGGAACTGTACAATGAAGAAATTCTACCATCTTCTGAGCATGTTGTTTTGAGGAATAATAGAAATCCAGACCATCTTAAAAAAAGGAAAAATAAAAAACGAGAAATGAGAATAACTGAAAAATAAGATTTTCTTTTACCAACATGGCTATGTCACAAATTAAATCTGTATCAACCACCACCACAAATTAGAAAATATGAATCTATTACATTGTGGCCATAACAGAATAGAGACATCTTTTAAGACTCATAGTGAATCCATGAACAAAATAAATCTGACAGTTACAAAAGGAAAAAACTAAAAAATTTAATTTCAGACAAATTCAAGGTCAAAGTGGGAAGAAAAATAGCAACAAAAAAAACAGACAGATATTTTATATAGTAAATATATCTACCAAGAAAATACTATGTCAATAATAGCATCGAGACAAATAAAACAAAGACTATTAAAAAGAAAAGGAGAAATCAACAAGTGTTAACAATCACCCAGTCATTATGGTAAACAGCAGCCCAGTTTCTCTCAAAACAGATATAATCCATTGAATAATAAAAAAATAACAAAGAACTTGAATTAAACCATCAGAATTGGTTTAATCAAGATGTATAAAACATAATTCTCTAAGAAAAACAACATAGTACTTTACTTATAACACATTCATAAAATATGTACAAGAATTTAAAAACTCGATAAATTCCAAAAGGCAGAAATTACTAGAAACAGCATTATCCAACCACAATGCAATAGTATTCAAAATCAGTAACAAAGGGATGGCCAGAAGCAAACATAGCTGTGAGGAATGTTGAAATAGTCTTATAAATAACCATGCAGCTAAGTTATAAAATGGGTTTATTAGAATGGCTTCCCACTCATCTCGATTCAGGGTCTTTCAGTGCTGCTTCCGTCTGAAGGAGCATCCTTCTGTGAGCCTTGCTTTTCCTCCTGTCGGTTGGCAGAGGACAGCAGAGCAGCCAACACACAAAATTACTGTTTGTGCATGGCTAAAGACCGTGGTGATTTCATAGCCTCCTGGGCATTTGATATCCATGAAGTAGGAATTGGGGCTCTGCACAGAGTGCTTCTTCTTGTGTTTTCTCTTCTCCTCTTTGGGAGAAGGATGAAGGAGATCCTTTGCGAGAGGCATGATCGCTGGGGAGGTTGTCACCACCAGAAAGCCACAGCTAAGTACTAAACTACCCAGAATAGCCAGAACAATTTTTAGGATTTTAGAAGCATATCTTCCCAATTTCAAAACTCACTATATAAAATTATGTACAGTCAAGATAATGTGGTACTGGGATAAACATCAACATAACAAACATAGAGTTAAAGGTAAAACTGTAAAGCTTTGGAAAGCCTGAGTACTGGACTTCATCTACATTTAAAACTTTTGCAATACAGAAGTTACAGTATTAAAAAGAAAAAAACTACAGAGAAAATATTTTAAATTAGGTATGTGATAAGATTTGTGTCTAGAATATATAAAGAATGCCAACAATTCATTGAGAAAATCCTAAGAATGAGCAAAATATTTTAATAGCTATTTCAACAAAGATATGCTGTTGCTGTCGAGTTGATTCCAAAGCACAGAGATGCTTAAGAGCACAGAACTGCCCTCCGACAGCATTTGCAAGTCTGCAGATGTTTATGGAAGAAGACTGCAGACTTACACAGACTGTTACAGAAGAAAGCTGAACCACTACACTACCCCGACTCCTTAAACAAGATTTAACAATGGCTGATAGCCCCTTGATGAGAAAAGACAAACATTAGGAACAAGAAAACTTAAACATAAGTATAGTTAGTCATCAGTGAGATTTAAAATTATGAGGATACATTATGTTCAATTTGATAAAAAAAATGTGAAAAACTAAATGAAATGGTTTATTTCCTTAGAAAATGCTATCAAAATTGATTTAAGGTGAAGCAGACAACCTGAGAGCAATTAATGATCTTAAGCTGTAGAGATTTATACACCTTATCAACAAGGCTCCAAACAAAAGATGGGAAGCTCAATGGACAATAAATCCTAGGTAGAAAGAGGATAAATTCTTTCAACCTAACATAACAAAGAGCATTAAGTATGCTAAAGTTTGAGCAGATACCATATATACTCAAGGATAAGGCGAGTTTTTCAGCACATTTTATATGCTGAAAAAGCCCCGCAGTTTACTGTGGTAAAAATAGGTGTCTCAGCTTATACTCAAGTATATATGGTACATATCAAACAGAAACATCACAGTAGGCATGAAACATGAGAGAGGAAAGTCTGATGATGCTGTTCTAGCTAAAGAAAAAATTTGGAAAGAGATAAATTTACCACTGTCTATCAATAATTAATTGTAGACAGTGTCCCAATGCAAACTATAAGTGATATTAGATTTTTTAAAGATCAATAGCTTTCCTAATAAAAAAGTAGAAAATGTAATGGAAAGTTTCATCCACAGCAACAAACAGCCTAAAATACTGAGCAATAAGCCAACAAGAAACTTCAAAGGTCAATTACATAAAGAATTATAAAACTTCACTAAAGAATTGAACAAAATTAAGGAACATGGTCTAGATCGTTTAATCTTCAAAATAATACTATGAATTAAGATTTTCAACCTTTCCATTTCTTTGCTGGAAAAACTGAAACTCAGACCAAACAACACACACAAGGTCAGACCCCAAAACGTCACAACAGATACTGAAACCCACAGAATCTGGTTCCAGAAATCAATCCTCTTACCAACAACCAAGAGAATTTTAGTCCCCACCCCCTAAAAACATGATGGAGTACACATTATAAAGCATGAGAATTTACATACTGTGTTAGAAGCAGTAAAACAAAACACAGTTCACGATTTTGAATTAATGGGGAAAGCACATACAGTTCAGTACATGGGCACTGAAAGAACGGATTCGGATTAACCTTCAGGTAAAAATTTCCACCACATAAGATTAATGATCCAAAAGTAATAACAAAAATCACGAAATCAACAATTTTCTTGGAATATAGGAAATATTTTCCTATATTATAGGAAATATTTTCCTATATTAATGTTAAAAGTCACACTAATGAGAGAAAAGCTTCTATGATAAAAAACACATAAATGGAAGTAAAAATCTCTTCTCTTCCTCTCTGCATAAAACAAGTCCTGGATAAATTTTCTATAACAGCACTTTATACTCCATTAATGCAGTCACTGATTCACTCATCTGAGCATCCCACCAGATAAAATTAATTGAAGAAGGAGACTAATTTGCTAACTAAATTGGGAAGGCACCAATTCACAATTTTTAAAAAGTAAAAAAAAAAAGAAAGTCAGCCAATTGGTACTTAAGTAAGTTGAAATAAGTTTTTTATACAGTTTCAAATACTTTAACTTTTAACTTTTAACTCACCATGAATCTCTTTGATACGAAGTGTGTTCTGATGCATTGCATATTTCAAAATCAGCTGTTCCAGGTAGTAGAAAGTCTTTTTGTGTAAGGTCTAAATATAAATGCATTATCAGATTTGCACACACACAAAAAGCCACATTTTGCATAGACACAGCACACTAATGCTTTAAAACAAAAACCATCTATACAGATTATATAAAATACAAATGTTCAATTTCTGTAAGTAAATATTCCAGGGAGCTAACTACTCTTAATGTCTGAAAGATTTAGAAAGGAAAAAGGCAGAGGTGCTATTGAAATATAAGACGGAGAACTCACTCACACCCCACCCTCTCATTACCTTTTGCCTCACTTGAACTATTGACTTCCAGAAATCCTTCGCTTCTACTCGATGGCAATCTCCACACATTTGGGACTGGACAACGTAATCCACCACAAATACTTGCTGAAGAATAGCACCATTCATCACCTAATAGAGAAAGTGGGTTTTTTGGTTTAATAACAAATATTTTTCTTAACCAAAGATGCTTCAATATATCATTTTAAAATCATTTCTCACGAATGTTGTGAGGACGTCAATAATGATTAAGTCAAATGTAAAGTCATCTGATAAATCATACTCTTAGGAAATATACTGTTAGGAACCAGTTGTTCTCATAGTGACCTTATTTATAACCCAATGGAGCAATGGCTGGTCCTTCATCATCCTCACAATTGTTACGCTTGTGTCCATTGTTACAGCCACTGTGCCAATCCACGTTTACTTCCTAGTGTTTAACTAACATTTAAATAATAATTGAAGTAGTTAAAAGAACATTCTTTGAAAAATGATATACACTACATGAAATTCATCCTTATGAGAAAAAAATAAGACAAAATAAAATCTCAAAAAAAAAAATCCTGTTTAATATTTCTCAAGTACAGCCAACTATCAAAAGCACCTGGGACACACTAAGTGTATAGATTCCTAGGTCTCACATCTAGAAACTTTGATTCAGTTACTATGGGCCATGATGGTGAGTTTGGGAATCAGTGCCTAACAAATATAAATTAGTTCAGTCTTGTCCAAAATAAAAATAATACTGAAAATCTTATCACAGCTCACTCGCCAGAGGCTGTTCTTCCTAATGACCTCACAACTTGTGGGGGCTAATGTACATCAGGACAGATAGCAACTGGAAACAGGGAATCCAAGACAGATGATTCCTTCAGGACCAGTGGTGAGAGGGGCGATGCCTGAAGGCTGGAGGGAATATTGGGTAGAAAGGGGGACCGACTACAAGAGTCTACCTATAGCCTCCTCCCTGAGGGATGGACAGCAGAGAAAGGGCGGGGGAGTCATCAAACAGTGCAACATATGGCAAAATAATAATAATTTGTGAATTATGAAGGGTTCATGAAGGAGGAGGAAGTGGGGAGGGAGGGGGAAAAATGAGCAGCCAATATTAAGGGCTCAGGTGGAAGGAAAGTGTTTTGGGAATGATGATGGCAGCAAATGTACATATGTGCTTGACACAATGGATGGATGGATGGATGGATGGTGATAGGAATTGTACGAGCCCCCAATAAAATGATTAAAAAAAAAAACATGGGCTAAAACCAAGAATGCATTCTTCTTTTAATCTGTTCTAGTCATAAAATAACTACTAGATCTTTCTTCTACCTTTATTGTAACTGAATGATATACTGCTTACCTCTTTCTGGATAGTGAGTTTAACTTTAAGTCTCTTAGAATGGGGCTCAGTCCAAACAAAACCTGCATCTACAAGCCGTACCTTCAATAGAACACAAACAAAATTTAACAACTTCACACCTGAGAAAAGAGAACAATTCAACAATCAACAGATTTAATAAGAAGCTTACGGAATCTGAGATTAGCATCATTACATAATATTGTCACTAAAGAAAAAAAAATCAGAGATCAGTAATGACAATAACTAAAAATACAACCAATGACTATAATATAATCCATGCAAAAAAATGAAAAGGTTTGTGAAGGAGAGCACATTTGTTTTTCTCTTAACAAGTATACTGCTCATTAAATGGAAATTAGAATTCTTAGAAGAAAGCAAGGACCTGGTAGCCTTACCCTCTACCAAAAAAACGTTTTTTTCAAGTTTTTAGCTTCATTTGAGTCATTCTCATAAGTATATAAAGTATATTTCCTCCCTTTTCATTTCTTACCCCATCCCCACCCCCACCCCATGCCATGGCCAGGGACTTGTCAGGAGTCTCATGCACCAAATACTAAACCCACAATAGGAATTCACTTTTAGTCAACGGCTCTTCAGAGACCAAAATCAGTTTGCTGTGGCAAATTGTGTACAGCTCAATACAACTAGAATGGATGCACAGATTGGCAAGAGAAGTGAGGGATGAGACCAAAGATATGAAAAGAGACCAGATGTAGCATCTTATGAAAAATGTTCTTAAAGAGGAAGGAGCACCAAACAATGAAGTTTGCATGTGGAAAGATCACTCTGGTTGCTATGGGAAGAAGTGACTGAAAAATAATAAAGGCTATTGTTAATATCTAGGTAAGGGTTGCAAATAACTTGACTAAGGTAAAGCAGCACCAGAAATAAGGGAAATAGCAGAAGCAAGAAGATCCAAAAGCTTTTTAAAAGTTGTAAGATATAATTGCAACTGATATAGGAAAGAGGAAGATAGCAGACATGAGAATGATAACCTGAGTATCCAGTCTGGGTACCCAGGTCATACTACTGTTGATACAAATAAAGAGCAGATTTGAGGGGAAGAAAAGGTTGCAACTAGCTTCAGAATTTGAGTTTTAAGAGGGTTACCCATGTGAAATCCCAGGCGTCACTGTAAACAGCATATCTGTTAGTCTAGAAACTTATGGGTACATTTAGGCTGCAGGTAATAGACTTGGGACTATCAGCAAGCAGATGACAGCATCATTAAGTCTTACCTAGTGAGAACTCAAATAGCTAATATACATGCAGCACCCTAGAGTAAAACCATTCATATGACTGGTTCCCCTAAAGCCAAGTCCAGCCAACCACAAAACTCTCACAATCAGTTTCTTGTTCCCTGTGGACAAATTAAGATGCAGCCCCACAGCACTGAGTCACAATGCCTAAACTCAGCCTCCAACCTGTCTGCAGGAATGAGCAAAGCTCTTCATGTGCACTTTTGCCATTCACAAACACAACTTCAACACATATCTGTCCTGAGATAATGAGGATCAATCTGCCTTATTGGGCCCTTTATCCTTCTTTACCCAAGTCCTAACCACCTCTGTCAGCCCTCATCTCCCACATTCCCTCTTGGGTCTTTAACCACCACCACCACCAAAAAAAAACAACAAAAAAAAACTCACTACCATCGGGTTGATTCCAACTTACAACGAGCCTAGAGGTCAAAGAAGAACTGCCCCTCAGGTTCCAAGACTAATTGTTATGGGAATAGAACGCCTTGTCTTTCAGGTGGTTTCAAACCACTCACTCGTGGTTAGCAGCCCAATGCATATCCACAACACCACCAGGGCTCCTGTGTTTCACCTAACACCCCTCCCTGAGTCCAGAAACTCATTTACTATGCCCTCTGGAATGCAACACCCCCTAAATCTTCAATCTCTTTGTCCAACACCCCTTTCATCTCAGGATCTCCTGATGGCATGGTTCCCCCCTACAGCTAAATCAAGTGATACTGATTTTTCTCTCCTCCCCTCTATCTCTGGTGCAGAAGTAGAGCCCGAGACTGTAGCCCTTAGACATGCTTCAAACCTGGAACTGAACTCACCCCTGGGGATTACCTTGCAGCCACATAGGCCTATAAAGCGAATGGTAACTGTTCACTCATGAGGAGCCTAACTCCTGAGAATAACCAACCATATGAGACCAAAGGAAACAAAGCTCAGGAAGCAGAAAGGCAGAGAAAAGCAGTCTGGACATGGAGAACCCAGAGAACTGCAATCTGCATGTCATGAAGCAAAATGTGTAAAACCTGTTGAGAGGACAATGAACCTGCCCTGTAAACTTTCATAAAACCAGGATAAAAAACATAACAATAAAAACAGAAAAGGTTTATAAGTTAGCTAAATAGAAGCCAAATGCCTAAGCCATAATGCTTTAATTCCCTAGATCAGCAGTTCTCAACCTGTGGGTCGTGACCATTTTGTAGGTCGAACAATCCTTTCACAGGGGTCGCCCAATTCATAACAGCAGCAAAATTACAGTTATGAAGTAGCAATGAAAATAACTTTATGGTTGGAGGGTTCACCACAACATGAGGAACTATATTAAAAGTGTCACATCATTAGGAAGGTTGCCCCTGCCCTAGATTATATTCAGTGATGGTTTTATGTAATTTTCAGGAAAAAAATATTGCACATAAAATTCTCAAGAGGGAAAAACTTTAGCCAAGATCTTTTAAAACTAAGGTATTTGCCTTTCCTATTATATATATGTTTTTAAATGACAACATCTAAAGTGGGGTGCTTATCAAGAAACATTTAATAATTACTTTAGAAAAACCTACTCATAACTTGGAATTTTCTGAAAACAAGCACTTTAATTGAAGTAGACCTGCAAAAACTGATTTTATTCATTTGACTTACCTTACTCAGAGGGGTTTTGAGTTTTTTCAAACACAAAGCAAGAAGTTCCCTGGATTCTAAGGCACACTGAACCCAAGTTGCTGGTGGCTGAAAATACCTGAGAAGACAACGCACAGAAATTTAGCATCACTCAGGAAAAGTAAAAATCATCTGAATGTGCACACATAACATTATGTCCCAAACAGAATACTCCAGGTTAATCTGAAGTACTTAAGCCAAATACATTTTTATAGCTCCAGAAAGCTTTGTCACACCAATAGCTTTAGTTAAAATGGACTTGCTTTCTCAAATAATCACTATTTAATAAACAATTCCTCAAATAATTCTAATCAGAAAGCAAGTCTGAAATAATATATTATTAAAGAGGTCTTATTATTTTGCAAGCACTAGTAAGCACTTCAGTCAAGATGATAAAATGCCCAAGAGTTCACTGAAACTATACTCTTAAAGAGAATCATCTTAAAATAGCATGGAAAAATGACATTATGTACTTTTAAGATGCTTGAGGACTGCTTATTTTCCATACCACTAGTTCTCAGCACCACATTCAGCGAGCGTTCAGACCAACTGCATGTTCCTTTTAAAATTTTAAACTAGAAAATTCAAGTTTCAAAATCTTAACTTCAATCAGAGTATACTGTAAGTTAAGATTATAAAGGGGCTAAGAACAGTAACCAGCATATAGTAGGTGCTCTTATGTCTGCTAAATACCTAATACGGGCAACGTGTTCTGTGTGACTTTTGGGGGCACCTGTTCAATGCTCAAAGTTCTGGCTTTCACTATTAAATGTTTGATCAAAAACTTTACACAAGTCACTCGGCTTCTAAGAACACTTTTGAAGCTAGAAGAGACCTCACATCTGATCTAATTAAAACCTCTTCACTGGTGAGAAAAATTAAGGCCCAGAGAAGTTAAATGGCCGTTTTTTAAAAGCTAGTACATACAAAATAAAGACAAATTATGTCTCCTGATGCTTTGCCAAGAGTTAGCCACCGTGCCATGTTAATAGGAAATACTTATGGAAATTTAAACCTCACACTTGCCAAACTTCCAAACTGTGGACTCCCTGAAACAGTACGCAGTGTTTTGTGCTGGTACACAAAATACTTACATGTGTGTGAAGTATTTTTCTAGGGAGAAACCATTGTCAATTCTGAAAGGAGTCCCTGACCCACCTCATTCTCTATAACAACAATTAAGATTCACAATTATTCGATTTATCTTGGTATGATCTTGACGTATGTGGGTAGCTCTCCTATCTACAAATCTCAACTATACCCCACACCAAACTCACTGTCACTGTGTTGATTCCGACTCATAGTGACCCTGTAAGACAGACTAGAACTGCCCCCACAGGGTTCTTGAGGCTGCAAATCTTTACCGAAGCAGACTGCCACATTTTTCTCCCTCAGAGCAGCTGGTTGGTTTCGAAAAGCCAGTCTTTGGGTTAGCAGCCAAGCACTTTAACGCGGGTCCTTTATGTCAACTCTAGTAAGACAGAAAGTTTCACACTGTACCTTTGACATTGTTTGCAGAAAGAAATAGAAACCTGCTTCGGAATGCCTTGGCTGATGTCCACTTTACTTCGCAAACAGGCCACACATATATTGGCAGGATTTGGACTAATTGGGACACCACATTCACAACACAAGCTTGAATAAAATGAAGCATAAAATTTCAAAATGAGATTTCAAAAATGCACTAACAAATGAAATAACTTCCAAAAACTTAATAAACACAGAAAAGTCTTTGTATTAGGCCTTTTAAAAACAGATTTAGGCTCATAATAAATGAGGGTGGCGCGTGATGGGTACGTGCCCATCTCTAGACAACTGGACATACCTTGCAGAGGGGTAGTGGGGAGATGAGTCACTTAGGGTA